CTGTGTCCCTGCTGTGTCCCTGCTGTGTCCCTGCACCCCCACTGTGTCCCCCGTGTCCCCACTGTGTCCCTGCTGTGTCCCTGCCGTGTCCCTGCACCCCCACTGTGTCCCCACTGTGTCCCCACTGTGTCCCCACTGTGTCCCTGCTGTGTCCCTGCTGTGTCCCTGCACCCCCAGTGTGTCCCCCGTGTCCCTGCTGTGTCCCTGCTGTGTCCCTGCTGTGTCCCTGCACCCCCACTGTGTCCCTGCTGTGTCCCTGCTGTGTCCCTGCCGTGTCCCTGCTGTGTCCCTGCACCCCCAGCGTGTCCCCCGTGTCCCCGCCGTGTCCCCGCCGTGTCCCCGTGCCCCCAGCATGTCCCCCGTGTCCCCGCCGTGTCCCCGCCGTGTCCCTGCTGTGTCCCCGCACCCCCACTGTGTCCCCTGTGTCCCCACCGTGTCCCTGCCGTGTCCCTGCCGTGTCCCCGCACCCCCAGCGTGTCCCCCATGTCCCCACCGTGTCCCCGCCGTGTCCCTGCGCCCCCAGCATGTCCCCCGTGCCCCGTGCAGGGTGGCCCAGGCCTACGTGAACCAGCGCAAGCTGGACCGCGAGGTGCGGACGCTGCAGGCGCAGGCGGCGCAGTTCGCCCGCCAGACGGCCCAGTGGATCGCCATGGTGGAGAGCTTCAACCAGGCGCTCAAGGTGGGAGCCGGCGGCGGGGGGACCCGCCTGTCACCGCCCCGGCCGCGGTGACATCCCGGCCCCGCTCCCGCAGGAGATCGGCGACGTGGAGAACTGGGCGCGCAGCATGGAGCTGGACATGCGCAGCGTGGCGGCCGCGCTCGACTACGTGTGCAAGGGGCAGCTGCAGCCGCCGCCGTCCTGAGCGCCGCGGCCCCCGGCGGTGTCCCCCCCGCTGCCGCCACCGCCTCGAGGACACAATAAAGCCGCGCGCGGGACACGAGCCCCCCCTTGTTGCCCCCCCTAAGCCCCCTCATCCTCTTTGCCGCCCGGAGCCGGCGCCGCGTTTTTGTGCTGCACAAAGGGGCCCTTCAGGTCACTAATCCCCCCCACGACCCCCCCAGCACGCGGGGGGCAGAGCCCCACACTGTGTCCCCCCCTGCCAAAGTGGACCCTGGCATCCTGGGGGCTGCCCCCTGTGTCCCCACTATGTCCAGGGGTGTCCCCTTAATTGTGGGGGTGTCCCCTGCCCCTCCATGCACCTGGATGAGGACTGAGGGGGTCACAACTCTGGCACTCGGAGGGGGTTGGGGGCGGGGGGCGGGGGCACCATCCGGAGCTTTGGCAGCGGGTGCCGGGGGGAGGAGCGTCCGTGTCCCCCCCTGCCCCGGGTCACACTGCTCTTGCCACCGCGGCCACAGCAGCGTCCCCAGGTCCCTGCTCAAGGTATGTGGTGGCCTTGGCTGGGGGGGCACCCGGCTCGTGTTGGGGGGCACCAGCCCTGCCCCCCTGGGGTGAGATGAGTCTGTCAGGGCTCAGCTGTGACAGTGTGTGGGGAGCAGCCTCCTGCGGGGGGGCACCAAGTGTCCCCTTGTCCCCAAAGGGCAGGGGGAGGGTGGCAGGAGCCCCCCCATTCCCTCATAGCCCATGTTGGGTCCTGGGGGGCAGCCGGAGGTGGGAGTGATCGAAGATGTCAGAGGCACCGACTGGGGGGGGGCGACCCTCACGCGGAGGTCCCCAGTGGGCAGAAACGGGGCCCCTCTTACCCACCCTGCTGGGGGGCTGCGGGACCCGGCGGGTCAGAGCCCCCCATCTCCGCATGGGTGCGGGGGGCAGCTGAGGGGGGCGGGATTCATCCCGGACAGCGGGGCCAGGGGGAGTGGGATTCATCCCGGACAGCGGGGCCGGGAGGGGAGGGATTCATCCTGGACAGTGGGGCTGGGGGGGGTAAGGATTCATCCCGAAGAGTGGGGCTGGGATTCATCCCAGACAGCGGGGCCAGGGGCGGCGGGATTCTTCCTGGACAGTGGGGCCGGGGGAACAGGTTTCATTCCGGAGAGTGGGGCCGGGATTCATCCTGGACAGCAGCCCCTGCCCCCCCGGTGTCACCCGCGTCCCGGTTTAGCCCCGGGGTGGCGGGCGGGCGGCCAGCGGTGACGCACGGAGCCGGCTAATCCCGGCCCGCGGCGCGGGACGGTCCGGCGGGGCGGCGCGGGGGGCGGCTCAAACGCGCCCCCGTTTCCCGCCTTGTCCCCGCGGGACGCTCCGGTGCAGCGGAGCCCGCTGCTCCCGTGCCGAGCGCCCATGTGGCTGTACGCGGCGCTGGCGGCGCTGGCCTGGGCGCTGGGCTGGCTGCTGCGGGACCGGCGGCGGCTGCGGCGCC